CCCCACCTCCAAGAAGGTCCGTTAGACTGGCAGGCCAATGGATGCTTACTGATGCCGCCCGAGGCCAGGGGGCGGAACAGCCAAGGGTCGAAGATCCCACCGGGGCCAAGACTCCACCTGACGACGGAAGGAATAATCCGGGTCATTGAAGGCATCCTCGCAGAGGGAGCACAAGAGGCGAGTTTTGTTCTCCCGCCAGAATTGGTGCAGCTCGCGAGCGCTGTACCGGGCCCGAGCCCTGGGCGCAGCATGCACCTCCGGCATGAGCTGTGGGGTGATGAAAATTTCCGGGAGGCCAGGTCCCACGCCCCCTTCGTCTAAGAAAGCTTGTCCTTCTTGTCTCCACAGTTCATGGGCAGGCCAAGGGCCCAGGGTGTGCTCATTGGGTAAGTTGCGGTAAGCTTCGCTGTCTTGGTCGAAGCTTTCCAAGATAGAGTGCATCACTTTTGCGCGGAAATCCTTCAACTTGTACCACCCTAGTCTAAAGAAGCGCAGGGCGTAGGGGGAAGTAGAGGTCACGCCGCATGGGGCCACGCAACCAATACACGAGGACTTGTGGGAGCTGCCACCCGGACGAGGTGGCACGATTCCGCAATCGACTGAGCGCATTCCGCAATAAACCAGCAGGTTGAATCTGCAAGGAGGGAGCCGCGCCGAAGCCCAGGGCAACGTCCTCCATGGGTAATTAGCATAACACGGAAGGTGCCAGTGTACGCACCAGGGTGGACAAACATGCCAGGGTCGAACTCATGATCGCCCAGCAGTATACGTCCACGATTGATGGCGTCCACCATGCGTTGGGCTACTTCATACTGCAGCTGGCAAACTGCTCGAGCAGGCACCGTGACCGTGACCCGCAAGTAGTTAAACTGTAAAACCCTGAGCGGTCACGCTTTTACTCTTGAACCAAAGGCGCTGCGTCGGTCACATAGTATACAGCTATACAATACTATACCGTAGCCTGGGCTCACCAAAGGTGTGGGGCGTTCCTATGTACAGAATTCAACACCCTGCCTCGAAGTCCTTGTGCTGTACTTCGATCGGTCCGCGGTCGGGCATACCTCCGCCCGTGACTGCATCGGCTTAGCCATTGCAAGTCCTTGGGTTAAACACTCCGTGCAACCCACCTTTTGACCGTCCCCCAATTAAGGAGGTGTGTCAGACCGTCCTTGTCCTGACGTTCGTACAGTAACAAGTACTTCGTCCTAGTGAAACATTCCACACAAACTTTCCTGCGTTAGCGCTCATCCTTCTTTTGCGCTTTCGCTGCTGTGTGTTCCGAGGTGAAACTTTTTCAGTCTTGCCTACACTCACTTCTCTGCCTCATACTCGTACACGATGTAGGACTTACTGACTTCCGAACAACGTTCTCTCTTCCGTGCTGTCCGGCGTACCGGGATCTACATCCATCGGCATCTCTGATCCTTGTCCGCGTTCTTCATACGTCTCATTGCACTGTCTGCAATACTCTTCATACGATTCCTGTGCTTCTGGGGATAGCATCATGTTCCCCATCTCTTCCACAGTGATCATCTTTCCGCGGGTACTCAATCTTCTCCGGCTCCTTCTTCCTTTCCGGTTCTTCCTGAGTTTCCGGTGAAACAACTCCTTTCAAGGCTTCCATGGCACGAACGTAGTTTTCATCGCTTATCTCAGCTCCCTTCCGAGTCACTCCTGAAATGACTCTGCTTCCACGTGCGTGGTCTTCCTCACTGATTATCGGCATACGTGTTCCGTCCGTATGTACGATTGCTGGCGTTCCCATTGCTGCTCTTCCACGTCTCTTCAGGGATCCTTTACCATTGCCACTCTTTTGTCCAGCATTCCATGCATGCTTTCCATCATCCGTTACACGGGTCTCTTCCTTTTCCGTGGCATCCCAAGATCCTTCTGTCGCAGTTCTGTCATAACTTTTCCTCCATTGTTCCATTGCATACGTCTTGATGCATTCCGTGCAAGAACATTTCTGGTGGCTTACCTTCTCCCTTGTACACTTCCGGATTCCGCACCAGTAGCACTGCTTTGTGCATCCGCCAGTTGACTCTACCTCGAAGTCAAGCTCCATCACTTCCCAGTCGCTTTCGTCTGGGATTGGCGGCTCTACGCGTCCACGGCGTTTTCTCATGCTTCCTTCTGGCTTCGTCTCCGGGAAACAAACCCAACAGTGTCTGTAGCCGTCCGCTACAGCTTCACTTTCTTCTTTCCAGATCCATTTGCCAGATCGCATATGGCTTCCTTGTACATGCCAACATGTTCCCTTGTGAAACACACGGGCCTTTGACCCTGTCGATATTTTCACCATACCGACTCCTTTGATCTGGTCCACAGTTCGCATAAACTTCTTCCACATACTGATTGCATACGGGGCTGCCAGTAGCATTACGCATACGATCATGCCGACCTCGAACTTCGTGAATCCATCCATGGCTTCCATCCTTTTTCCAAAGGTTCCACTGGCTTCTGCTCGGGCGTCCACTACGTCCTCCTTGAGCATTGCTGCGGTAATCGGCTTCATAAAATGAAATACCTGTATGGCTCTAATGAGGTTCTTGATTTGTCCACTTCCGACATACTCCTTCAACTTCTTCTCTTGTTCATGCTTTTCATACTCTTTCTCTCCGGTGTACTCCAAGTTTCCTTCTTCATCATACTCTACTTGAGACAAGTGATACAGTAGAAATGACCTTCGGGCATATGACAACTTCTTGGTGTTCAGATCCGCTACATTGAGCGCGGTTCGCACTGTACCAAGTTTTACAGGATTGTCTCGTACCCAATCTTGCAGTTGACATAGCCTAACGTCCACATGCTTCAGACGTCCAACTCCTCGTCGTTGACTCCACTGTCGTGCAGATGATGAATCGCACCGTATCTCCACGCGTACAGGCGCGTTTACTAGGAACTCAAATAGCCTTCCGACTAGAATAGCTTCTCCGCAAGTTCCACTTAGTGCATACAACTCTGCTTCACAGCTTGATGATGATGTGGCCTTCTGAGTCCTCGAAAATGATAACACTTGTACTCCGTTCAGTACAATGATTCCTGATGATGTACTCTTCCTTCGGGCTCTGTCCGGTGTTTTCAGGCTGGCCCAATCAGTATCCGAATACGCTTCCACAACATGTCCTGCGTCCTTGGCAATTTCTTCGTCCTCGTGGCCATTCAACTTCGTGATCAACCGGCTTCCGATTTCGGTATACGGTAACAGAGTAGCCCTTGTGGCTGTTCCGTTCAAATACAGAATCAAGTGCTTCAGACACTTTAGTGCCTGCACCGTCGGCTTCGACATACTTGATGCCAAACACTTTGAGGCATACTGAATGTCAATTCTGTCCTGTGCAAGGTACAAAATAGATCCGAGTCCAGATCTAAACCGTTTTGTCTCTTCAGCACTCAACTCCTTGCTCCGGTCTTCCTTCACCAGATCCACATGCTCTGGCGTGGCCTTACTCTTCAGTTTTCCAAGGTCATACAACTCAATGAGCTTCCGAACATACTTCTCATTCGGTTGGACAACAATTCCTTCTCGGGTGAAGACATACTTTCTTTTGAGATATCGCATCTCTTCTCCACTTCCTACTCCATTCGCTGGATACGGTCCTTCTTTCTCCACCTTGAATACTTTCTCCAGTTCTTCCACCAACCAAATGGTTTCTTCCTTTTCTCCTGCTAGTAGCTCATCGTCTACATGGATAGAGATACACAGCTTCCTTGTGGTGTGTCTAGCTAATGCGGGTACATGTACTGAGAACACAAATCCAAGTTTCTCCCTCGCACCTGCCCTGTACTCCCTGCCCACTATGCGGCACCTCCTTTTCCAACGTCCGTCACGATGCCTCCAGTCGTAGACTTCGCGCAAATCCATACGCTTCTCATCACCTGTCGCATTCGCCTCCATGAACTCTTCGATTACTCCTAGCTTGCTGAGGCGATTCAATTCGTCTGGTTGGCTTACTCTTGAACCCCAACACCAACACAACATACACCATGATGCACTTGCACATAGATGCATCGCGAAGGTCGTGGTTCAATCTACTTCGCAATCAAGTCAGTATTTCCCAATTGATATATGGGACATCGAATATTTTCAAAGCATATCAAATTGCCTCAATCACTCGGACCGTCTTCATTTTGATCGCAAAAGGGGATGATGCTGCTGCCCAACTTCGAATGCCACGCGACGGGAATCACAAGAGACCAAAGGTAGCGAATGCACACACACACCCGCACGAAGGCGGTACATGATGGTCGCACGAAGGCATACCGATCACTGCCACAGTGCACACACACCCGCACGAAGGCGGTACATGATGGTCGCACGAAGGCATACCGATCACTGCCACAGTCTCTCTCCCGGGAGGGCGGGCGGGTGAAACAAAATTTTGTGCTCCTTGAGCACAATGCTGCTCATGTTTTGCAACAATCTTCTGCATTCCAGAGTGTAAGTAAAAGCAAACATGGAACTGTGAAAAGGAAAACATGAAAAGAAAACATAAAACATAAATTCCTTCTTTATCGTAACTACAAATAGAGGGATTCCTCGTAATGTTTTGTTTTGTCACTGTCGACGCACCAAGTGCCCATCCACCCACACACACACACACACACACAGAGGGGGGGGGTTCAAGGAGGTAAGCCGAAACAAGACAGGACCGTCAACAAGTTGAGGTTATCCGTCTTGTTGGCTTACTCTTGAACCCCAACACCAACACAACATACACCATGATGCACTTGCACATAGATGCATCGCGAAGGTCGTGGTTCAATCTACTTCGCAATCAAGTCAGTATTTCCCAATTGATATATGGGACATCGAATATTTTCAAAGCATATCAAATTGCCTCAATCACTCGGACCGTCTTCATTTTGATCGCAAAAGGGGATGATGCTGCTGCCCAACTTCGAATGCCACGCGACGGGAATCACAAGAGACCAAAGGTAGCGAATGCACACACACCCGCACGAAGGCGGTACATGATGGTCGCACGAAGGCATACCGATCACTGCCACAGTCTCTCTCCCACATTTTCCCCATCACCGAACGGCATTGACCCCTGGCACATATCCATGAAGGACCGCTTGCTAAGCAATCCTTTCACAAGAACGTCGTCCAAGGTCAAGGGAAGCTCAAGGGATCCACCGAGCTCCTCAGCAGCCTCCCGCGCTTGCGATCTAGACGGCTTGTCTGCAGGGTTAGATTCTGATGCCACACGAGTGAACCACAGCGTGAAGTGATACCGCCGAGCCACCCAGGCAATCATCGAAAGCATGACGAAGTGGTCAGGAAGCGGAGAAGAGCCCTTGATCAAGGAGTCGCGCACGCCGTTGTTGTCGATGAAAGCCAGGATGCGCCTGCCCGCCAACTGGGGGCCCCAGCTGACCAGTGACACCAACACGGGAAAAAGCTCCAGCTGCGAGATGAGCTGAGTGCCGCCATGCCTGCCCCAGTGCTCGATAAGGCATTCTGGAACGACCACCTCCGCCACTTTCGGTCCCTGGTCCAAGGCGTACTGGAGAACAGCCCCCGCACCAGCGATTCTGTTGTCCCATGCGCCATCTGTAAAGAGCTTGATGGCATACCGCGAATCAAGAGCATGTATCACCCTCGGGGAGTCCGTAGCGAAGCAAGCTGCGATGTAGCCAATCACAAGTTTGAAATCGTCGGCCAGGGCATCATCCCAGCCGTTGGCCGCCACCTGCGACAAGAACTTGAGCGCCGGCTTGATGGGACAACCGTGAAGCTGTCCCTGAGCGAAGTTCAAGCGTCCATGCAAGGAAGACGCCTCAGACCTCTTCATGTAGCCCTGTGACAAAAGCCGGTCAAGTTCAGCACGCAGCTCCAAGACGCGGTCCGGCTTGTTGCGCACCTTCAGGATGCCCTGGTCCGCCGTCTTCAATGAAAGCTCAATGCCCAGCAAGGTGAAGGTCTGAGAGAAAGGCTGGTTTTTCTTAGGTTGCAGAGCGACGTTCCACCCCAAGCAAGTGGACAGAAGCCCCACCATGAAGTCCTGCGCTGAGCCCGACGAGGCCGATGGTTCCGCACAAGGAAAGTCATCGAAGTACACAGTGCAGCAGACTGAACCCATCGTCACTGCCAGGTGCCACAGGGATGCCGAGCAGCGGTTAAAGGAAAAGACTGCCGATGACGCTCCAAACATCAGGGCAGTAGACACAAAGAACGCCGGCGCACGGCGTTCTGGACTCCAAGCGACTAACACTCGATTAAACTTTGTATAGGGCCGGCAGCCCAGTTGTTTGTAAGCTGCGGAGAGATCCAAAGTCTTGCCGAGAAGATCCAGGCCATCGCCCCATTCGGGGTGTCTCTTCACAACAAGTTGTTCCCCTGAATCGAGCTGAATCATGCTGCCGGGCTGGTGCGAGCATCGGATAAGCAAGAGAACCAGGGAGATAAACGCATCAGCGTCCATCAACCTGAGCTTGTTGTATGCCGCATAAGCCGAGTTCAGACCGCTCTGAAGGCAGTCATCTATGATGCGAACCTTCGGCCCCTGGACGATGGGGAATCTCCTGGTGCACATCCACTCGGCGCTGCCGAGCCTCTCACTGACTTCGCTCTCAGCCCAATAGGGACCATCGATCCAGCCCTGCTCGACCTCACCAAGAGTTTGCGACCACAGCTCGTCGTCTGCAGCCGTATCGCCAGTCGGCTTGCACTTGGAGATGGTGTTCTTCCGGCGCCACACGGCTTGCTGCATGAGCTTCTCCACTGACTGCTGCGGCGGCTTGTAAGCCATGGGGAAGGCTCCAGAGCAGTTCGCCGGACCCACGAGTTCAAAGCCTCCCCTTACCTCATCGACAAGGCCCAGATCGGGAAAGTGAGACTCCCTCAGAAGCTGCTCCCACAATATGGTGTTTTTCCCCGCAAGAACTTTACGAAGATCCGGATGCAAGCCACAATGAAGCTCGCGTTCACGATCTTTGAGCGCCTCCGCCCTGACCAGCAGCTTCTGCAAGACCGTAGCACGATGAAAAGCAATGCCCCGAGGTCCTACTCTGAGGACGTTCACGACGGCCTTCACAAGGATGTCCGGCAAAGGAAGATTCAGCTCAAGCGGGTGGGACAAGCACCTGGTAGCCAGCACGGTTTGTTGGGGTCGTCGAAGCACCCCAACCATTGGTTCGGCGCCAGTCGCCGCCAATGCCTTAAGAGCCACCAATGTTGACGGTTTGACAGCATTAGTCGCTTCCAAAGCCCTAACTTCAGCGACCGAAGATACTGTGATGACCTCGTCCCCCGTTTTCGGAAAAAGGACATGCTTTGGCAGGGGCCGTTGAGGCCATTCTGGTGGTACGCAGTCGCGGGGAGCCACAAGCCAATACTCTGCAAGAAGCGGTGGCACCCTCTTACGAGTGAAGGAACGTAGATCCCGAGGCCGAAGGACTCCGGGGCCCACATGAGAGCGTTCTGTGCGGAGTCCTCGAAGTTGAAGAGCACGGAGAGAAAAGGCGGCATACGCAGCCGCCAGCTCCTTGGTGTACTCGGCTTCGCCTGATGTAGGGAAGACAACACCGGAAGGTGTTGCAGTCGGTGTCCACGACAAATGTTCATGAGAACCATCGCAATCGCGCCGCAAGCCGCTGCAGAGGCCCGGGGTTGCGCGAAAGGTGGTACGCTTATTGCGAGTGGAGCCCCACATGCAAGCATGGAACGCAACATCCTCCAACACCTGCCAAGCCGCGGGGTCCGGCAGATCTTGTGCCAGGAGATCGGCCACCCGCCAGAACAAGGAAGACGAAGGATTCTCGCAGCTGACCAGTGCGCCGCGCACATGCAGGATCCAAATCGAGACCAAGGTGAGCACATAGAGCTTGTTGGCCGAATGGACGCGAGCTGCTTGCGACGGCCGAAGTCCATCCAGACCAAAGGGGGATGCCAAGGATCGCAGCGGGGAAGACTGCAGATGCGAAAGCTCCGGAGGCAACGGCAGCTCGCGGGCCTTGCTTGAGGTGCCGCAAGGCGGCCCGAAGTGAGCCAAGCAAACATTAGCCGTGGAGAGCATCTCCAAGAAGATGGAAGCATCATGATCATCCTGAAGGTCAAGGCGAAGAACTTGTAGATCAGTGCAGCGAACGCGGTGATCAACTGGAAGAACACTGAGGCCTTGATCACGAAGTGCCACGGACAAGCGCCCACGACCACAAAAGGCCTCGACTGCTAAGGCCTCGGAAGCTTCGCAGGAGAAGCTGACTGCATGTAGGTCACACGGTGGCAACTGGACTTTGAAGCCCAAGAGCTCGAGATGTTGTCGTAAAGGTTGAGGCGGGGACTGGCCCGCCTGACCCACATTGAAGCCTAGCGCCACAAGCTGTGCGAAGTCGAAGTTTTGGTCGTCGCAGCGAGGCGTGAAAGCCACCACGAGAACCCTTTTGCCTCGCCACGGAAGTGTGAAGTGCAAGGCCTGGGAGTCCAAATAACAAGGGCCTCTGGAAACATCCAAAAGCATGCCGGGAAGATGGCGACCTTCGACCCATTGCCAGGAAGGCCCCGTTTCGTGATATTGCCAGACCTGACCCTCCTGGAACTCAGTAAGCGGCAGCAAGAGGTTAGGAGCCCCCACAGCATTGTTCACATCACGATGGGGCGCTGTTTGGAGATCTGCAAAAAGTGCCACCGCTGTAAAGGTATGCTCGGGAGCAATGCTTCGGACATACGCCGTCAGGGCAGAGGTAACCGTCGGAAACATGTGGCTGTGGCGGCGAAGGCCGTAGCAACCGTCTTTCGACCACGATCCCGTGGTCCACGAGAAATCGCCCGGTCGTCCGCGGGCAGGTACTTCAGGTGGCAGCACATCCAAAAGTGAAAGGAGCTGCTTCGCCGTAGGCGGAGAGCTGAAAGAACTTGCAAGAACTTCGGCGCAGTGAAGGTCGGTGGGAGAATGCCCCACTGCGGAAAACTTTTCCGGTCCAAAAGCTATGGCCTGGGTGCCGGAGGGGCCAGGCACGGCTTGTGCCCCTAGTCACTCCTTGTGGTCCACCCCTGCGTGGTTCTTCAGGCAGAACCAACACACGTGATAGCCGCGCTGGCACTTCTCTTTGGATTGGTCACAAGCCTTGCGATTGCAACGGAAGCAGATTGGCCTGCCTTGGTCATCGCGAGTCTTCGCCCCCGGTGGTATATCAATGCCCTTGCCGCCGCCCTTCGAACCTCCTGCCGACGGCTTGCCGGGCTGTGCTGAATCCGCGATCGGCTTGGACTTGGCCGCCTTCTGAAGCCTGCGGCGCTTGGCACGGCTCATCGCCTCAGCTCCAGCAGTCGGAGACGGCTTCGGAGGCGGAGGCACTGACCCCTTGGTGCGGGGCATCAAGGCAAAAGCAACGTCTGGAGCGTCCTTGAAGGCGTCCACAGCGGCATCAATCGGCAATGGAGTCCCGGATGTCAGGACCTTGCCCCGAGTCTCTTGCGCAACCAAGACCCAAAGCGTTCTGTCGGCGTCCACGACCTGGCTCAGGGTCACCGGCTGCTGTCCTGGGTACACTGGGCGCATCATGAAGCCGAAGAAGCGAGAGATGATCTTATCGAGCACCACGAACGTAGCAATGCCGGCCATGTGGAATGCCAGAGCACGACGCTGCATACAAGTCCGAACATGTAGGTCAGTGGACGTGTCAGCTGTCAAGGTCGTGGGGAGCTTCGTGACCTTGATGTTCAGCTTTTCCAAGCGGAAAGTTTCCGCGTCACGTTTTTCTGACCTCATTTCCGCCTCCCGCGACGTGCAGCGGGAAAGCTCCAAGGGTCCCAGACACCCCTCCTCCGCAAAGCCAACGGCCTTGTCCACCAAGGAGTGGCTAGGCTCCAACCAGGTGTCAATCGTGACTCCCAGCGCCTTCTTGAGCCGCTCTAGGCGATCCACTCTGTCTGCCATAGAGAGGCGTTTGGCTTCTTCGCGAGGTTCAAGCTTGTCCTTGAGCTCCTGGACCGCTAGCGTGTGGCTTGTGTAGAACAAGTGCCGGAAGGCTGGTAACGAATCCTTAGCCTCCTCACCAAGCTTGGCAACCAATGCATCCACGAACGGCTTCTCGTCACTGGCACCCGGCTGGTAGCTGGAGATGAAGGCGAACAGCGAGTGCGTACGGATGCCCTTCGTGATGAGCAAGTCGGCATGCGCCTCAGACACCCCGAGGCGAATCGCCTCCGCCCTGAAGGCCGCCTGCGAGTCCACCGACATGGGACCTGGACATGAGCGCAACCAGCAGCTTCTGATCCGCTGGCCAGTTCCGCGCAGGCACGACGTCGGCTTTTTCCCGGGTTCCGAGACTCCCAGAGGCCGTCCATGGCACGACGGCCCAAAAATTCCAGCAGCTCATCTTCAGAGTCTTTCCGGGCTTCGCTGCCAGATATAAGCCCAGCCCCGAAGGTGTTTGGTCGGCACGACGGCGCGGTCCCCAAGCAGCTTATCTTCGGGCAAGCCCGGGCTTCGCTGCTGTTCACACTTCGGTCGGCTGTGTGGGGCTCACGCACTAGGGAGGATGCAGACAAAACCTTGCCAGGCTCGACGGCCCAACATGGAGGCATTACAAGTTTCACTTGCGATGCCGTCCTGCATTAGCTCCCAGACACAAGTAACACTGACAGAGTTCAGCTCGCAGCCGCTGCCTCACCCCCTGCGTCCTGTGCACGCTGGCACACCAGACAAAAGGGGTATGGGCTTGAAGTGGAAGCCTTCGGCCTGACATAATTCGGTGTTTTCGGCCTCCCACATCGGAATCTATCAGAATCCGGGTCCAATGCATGAAGCGTACCCGAGGACAGGTGGACCAAATACTGGTCCGGATCAGGAGCCTCCACCATGCGGCGTTCAGCCGCCGGCACCGTTGCAGACACCGCCTGATCCGCATCATCATGCCCCATGTCATCTGAGGCACTGTCCTCGCAGGCACAGGGAGCACCATGCAGTTTCCTTTCCAACTCGTCCGATGCCACCTCTTCCTGATGAAGCTGCTGCGCTATCAGATCAGCCGCAGAAGCATCCGGCCTGAAAGACCCATCCTGGATCTTTGTAAGCATGCCCGCCACCTTTCCCAAAGGGCCCACGAAGTTAGCCCTCCCGTAGGTAAGTGCGCTGGTGCTTGGCCGATCAAGGTGATGCCCAATGATCTGTCTCTCGGACAAGGAAAAGAGCCCTGACTTACACATCCAAGCCAGCAGCGTCACCTTCAAGCTATGCGACGATGGCAAAGGTTGCAGCGGCGGATGCTCCATCTGACTAAGGATCTCGCGCAAGTGGAGAGTGGCCTCCCCGCTCGTCATCCGCCTCCGGATGAACTGGCTGGAAGATTCATTCCACGAGGGCAGCATGTAGTCCACACCAGTCCTAGGCAGGCGTGCCCTCTTCATGGCGTCAAGCCACTTCGGTGCCCAGGCAGTGCCTGTGACCAGTTGACCAAACCCCACAAAAGGAAGCAAGGTGGTCTTCCTCTCAGCTGTGCTGGCCAACTTGTGCCGAAGCGTCCCAGAACTCAGGACCGGCCGCGACCCCGAGACATCGATGGTTGGCAAAGTGGATGCCTGGGCATCACCCCACCTTGCGCTATTGGTGAGTGCGTAGAGGAAGAACCCTGCAATGCACACAACGGCCGTGTCTGGACTTTTCGCCACAAGCTTCTCAAGAAATCGCACTTCCTCCGCCGTGAGCCCCCTCGCTTGTTTTAAGGGTCTCTTCGTTATGGCAGCCTCGTGGACCAAGCCCCGGATGCGATGCGACACCAGGTCCTCGATCGGCGCCCTAATGCCCAGGAGGGTGTGCATGAAGAATATCGATTCAAGGGCACTTTGAGGAGCAGTTGCAGACCCACCCTGCAGCGACTCAAAGTACAAGAAGATGCTGGATTCGCTCATATGCAGCCCCGACTTGTGGCCCCGATCCACGTGGAACACGAACATCTTCCAAAATGCCAGAGTCCTTTTATGCAGGGTAGCAGCGGCCTTCTTGGCAAAGGTGAGCTCGATGGTCCTTTGGATCTGAGGTTCCTTGTCGAGGCTCCCGCTAAGCTCGTAAAGCATGGTCCCGAGCTTCGTGGCGTGGAAATCAGACTCCACCATGATCCTAACAAGGTGCAACGACTTCCTCTTCATATCATCAGCTATCTCAGGCCAATCCATCATCTTCGCCCTCCTAGCTGCGTATGGGAGCACTGGAAGTTTCACATTCTCGATCGCATCAACCTGCTTCAATCCTTGCTGAGCCCTGAGCTCCCAAAGCATGTGCTCAGAACGGCCCAACTTGAATGAGGCCCCCATCGAGACCGATGTAAAGGTCGCAATGCCCCGAGGCTCCTGCTCCCAAGCATGCTTGGGTCTCTTCTTCTGATGCTGCTCGGCACGCAGCAACTCCATTACCCTAATGCCTAGAACTTAAGCCCCACTTTTCGGCAATTTGCAAGAACTTGAAGTTGCACAGCACGCGGGAGAGCACAGGCAGGCGCACCTTGCGGAGCGCGAATGCAGAGTGCCCGCGGCACGCTATGGAGGTCTAGGATCCTGCAAACGGCTAGAAACCGTCAAGACCTGACAGGCACAGGCACGACGCTGATAGAAGCACAAGTGTTCCTGCAGACAAGCAGTTCTGAAGATTTCTCATGGCAGGCGGCACCAGTGCTGGTTTGCTAGCTGCATGCATCTCACGGAGAATGCCCTAATGGATTAGAAGGTTCGGGCACACGCAGCAGTCGCTCCACACGGAGGAGGCGAGCATGAAGGCTGCGAGAGAAATTATTGTCGATGATTGACCCACAGAAGCCCTCGACGTCATCAAGACGGCCACTGAGGCCGCGCAGCCAATGACCATGGCCTCGGTCCGAATTGGAGGAGCTCGCCGGGCGCTTGCGCCCAGAAGGAGCGCGATGCATGATTCGCGTCGGTGCTGTCAGGCTGCACCCGGCAGCCAAAGACTCCTTGCGTTCATCCGAGAGACTAGCAAAGATGATTTGAGGAGCCCTTTCCTCACCGGCATCTCCAGACTCCGAAGGCGTCAGAGAAGCAGCATCATCCTCGCAAATGTCATGACGAGCCCAGGCCTCTCGGTTCAATTGTTCGGCCAACGGCTCCTGGGATTTCTGGATGTTTTCACAAAATTTGTCAAAAGCGGCACGATGAGCAAACTCAGCGGTGCGGAATGAGACATGAGGCCGATGCAACTCGAAGCTTTCATGGATCCAGACTGCTCGACGGGTCAAGGTCGTTTCCATGAGGAGCGACACTGTTCCCTAGCCGTCAAGTGGTCTGCTCCTGATCTCTCCCTTCTAGCAGAAGGAGCCTCAAAACCTGCAATCGCGGCAAGTTCAGCAGATCTGAAGCAGCACACCGAAAGTGATGCCGCAGAGTCGAAGCTCACTTCAGAAACATGAGTGCCATGCAGCGACCATGCAAAAGGACGTTTACATGCCAAAAATCTGCAGCAACTCATGCCAAAACTGCCAAAGATATGAGGCTCAGGCCGCCTTTTGTCACACAGACCGAAGCTTGAGAGTTGAGCTGGTCTTAGCCAGCATAAGCCCCTAACATGCAGGTCCCACTGGAGATTCGATGACGAACCTGGATGTGTAAACACGCCTGCAGTAAAGCGGGGCACCTGCATGAAAAAGGGGGCAGTTCTGCCCTCGCAACAAAACTGAAGTAGCAGCTATGACGAACGAGCTGCAGAGCGCAGGGCCAGTCCAGAGAGCTCGTGGAAGCTGTTCATCAAGATTGGCCACGAACCTCCAAGGCGAGACAGGTCAATGCGTGACTCACCTCCGCCAGCGCATCTTGAGTGGCAGCCAACTCCCTGCGGAGACTTGTGTTTGCATCCTTGAGGGACTGCACTTGGAACTCCAAGGCAGCCACATCTTCGGCCAACAGGTTATGCCTGCGAGACCATTCAAGCTGCACCGTCTGCAAATCGGTCACAGTCAAAGGAGGCCAGAGCTCGTCAGCGCCAGTAGGCGCAGGTTCCTCGACGCAGACCTCCTCTTTGGATGACTCTGACACAGCAGGGGAGTTCACAGGCCATGACTCGTCTTCGGACGTCGCATCCATGCTGAGTGCACGACACGAGTGGTGAAACAAAATTTTGTGCTCCTTGAGCACAATGCTGCTCATGTTTTGCAACAATCTTCTGCATTCCAGAGTGTAAGTAAAAGCAAACATGGAACTGTGAAAAGGAAAACATGAAAAGAAAACATAAAACATAAATTCCTTCTTTATCGTAACTACAAATAGAGGGATTCCTCGTAATGTTTTGTTTTGTCACTGTCGACGCACCAAGTGCCCATCCACCCACACACACACACACAGAGGGGGGGGGTTCAAGGAGGTAAGCCGAAACAAGACAGGACCGTCAACAAGTTGAGGTTATCCTTCCACGGCTGCTTCCTGATCCAAGGCAACCAGTTCCTCTGGACTTGATTCCGGTGGTGTTTCTCCTTGGTCATTCTTTGGAACTTCTTCCATCTCCTCTTCCATGAGATCTTCATACTCCACGTCTTCTCCTTCTACTGCCGTGAGATCCTCATGTTCATCCCAATGAAAGGGGTCATCTTCCTGAGATACCCTGCCTGCGAACAAACTCGGGTAGATTCCTCTTGAAGGCGATGATGGTGCTGATGGCATTTCTCGTGACTTCTTTGGCGACCCTTCGACTTCTTGTCCACCTTCTACGGCTCTCTTCCGTAGGTCTTCCAGCATAGTATCGTCGCTAACACGTCCTTCTGGTTCTCCAGGTGATGCGTCGTGCATTGAACTTGAACTCCGGGAATGAGAACTAGATCCTGTGCTGGCCATGCCTCCACTTGAGGCCCTGCCTCCGCTTGAGGCCCTGCCTCCGCTTGAGGCTCCACTTGTGTCCAGCAGATCCAACAGTTCCTCGACCTGTTCCTCTTGGGACTGTCCTCGGTCCTCCGCACGAACTACTGGTTCCTGTGCTGTTCCTTCTTCTTCTGCGATACTTGCCAACGCTGGGGCTGGTAACGGCTGTCTGGTGTACGTTCCTTTTGGCTTCTTGGGGTTCCATGGAGTTACACTCAGCTTCAGTACTGGCTCCTTTCTCCATCCAGTGGCGATTCGCCTTACAGATCCTGTTGCCAAGATTCCGTCTTCAACTCCTACCAAGTGCATATCCTGAGAGTTCTTACCAAGGTAGATTCCTCCAATCCAATTCGCTGTTCCTTTCTTCTCGGGTTTCTTCAGCGC